CCCCCCCCTGCCAGTTGCAGAACCAACATCATTGCCTACTCCACCAGTACCATTTCACATTGGAACCTTTGGACAACTAACCGTACATCAGTTACAGCAATGAACTTACAAAGTTTGTATTCTGATGTTATCATTATGCCTGCTTACATTACTGCAATGCAAACTGAAATAGCAAAACTCCTTGATAATGCAAAATTAGAGGTAAAAGAATAAAAAAATAAATCTGCTTATACTAACAACAAGTCGTTACTAAATGAACACTATACATTTCCTTTCACGTCACTTGTCATAGTTTTGTGGTAACTTGTAACATTTAACTCACAGTTATCATCTTTATCACAGACTTGTGTTACTCTCTCATTCAATTTATAGGAAAAGCTTGCGGATGACCAATTAAAAGTGGGTGGAATGTACAAATCAGAAGAACATCTTACCCAACAGTTGGACAGAATCCTTAAAGAAATTAATGTGGAAAGGTAAGCTAATCATGGGAAAATATTTATTGGCAACCATGTGTACACCTGCTGTAAGGTAATGCCCCAATTATATTTACAAGATTAACCTTTAATAAAACCTATTCTGTTCTTCTCTTCAGCTCTCTTACATCTAAATCACTTCCTTTGATTTTCTTATTGCACGGAAAGAAAATATTGAAAAGCTGTGCAATGGTATTGTGTCAAAAGCAGAGGAGCTCTGTTTATGTCCTTCCCCAATTTCTGAGGCAAGAGAGATGAGCCTGAAGTTTAAAAGCCTGTTCCATTTGTTTGCTTACGACAGCGCAGATCAACTTGACGATGAAAATATTGACAAACTAGGTTAGAATGCCTTACACTGTACATATCTTAATGGAAATTTTCCGCGGACAAGGAAACAAAATTGCTTTACACCTCATACATCTTTTCCTGTTTCAGAGGCAGGCATTGACAGGCTTCTAGGTTTCGTTCGTCAAGAGTTTCCTCTTATGTCCACAACACCTAAGCTCCACATGTTGAAAGACCACGTTTCTTAATTTTTAAGAAAATGGCACATGGGTCTGGGCCCGGGGGGGGGGGGGGGGTGGTACTCCCTTATATGGGATATATAGGTATGTGCGGTATGGTTTTTCAGCCGTTTTGGTCATAAATAGGGTATCGATTTTACCTGATTTTGGCCATTTTGGTCATAAATAAGGTATGGCTTTTGCACTCTAGCCTTGATATGGGTATGTTTTTAAGAAGAGGCCACGTTTTCATCATTATCGAAAAGAAAATTAACAAAAGCCCTTCACAAATTATGTCTACGGTAATTTAACATTGGTCTGAACTAGGGAACGTATTATAACGTAGGTCTTAAACAGGGTTTTGATTTAATGGTCAGGTCATAAATAGGGTATCGAATATTTGGTCAGGTCATAAATAGGGAAGAGAATATCGCAGATTTTGGTCATAAATAGGGTAAGGGTTTTGGGAAGCGGGCTGCACAATCCCACCCAACTTTTCTGGGAGTAGCCCCCGAGGGTCTGGACTTCTATGGTGACCAAGGGATTGAAGGAATCCATTCAGAATTCAACCTTCAAGCAGAACACTTTGATCATGTGAAGAAGGAACAAGTTAGGCTGCACCAAATAATGGTCAACCACCAAATAATGGTCAACACTGGCAGGAAAGGCTCCCAAACCTAACGAGCGAAATTTAAAGCGGAAGGCAAATGAATAAATTTGTGAGATCTGTATAATCTCAAGCTGGACATCGTAACTTGAAGTATAATAGAGAAAATCAGCAGCTTTGAAAACAACATGTATTTTTAAATACACAGTGTTCGTAAAGATGACCTGTAAATTTGTAATGTGAAAATAATGTCCATATTCGATATTTTTTACTACAAAAGAAGCCTTGTAACTCCTATGTTTTATCAACAAATGAGAGTTAAGTCCTAAAATAAATAAGCTTTTATTAGGACCTGTAAACTTGACGTTCTCTACCGATTTAACCACCTTCCTCTCAAACTTTTATACCACAAACATTCAAAATGGAGTCGCGTAAACAGCTGATCATGCAATATGAAGTCACTCCACTGAAACAGAACCTGCACCGATATTTTGCCTATTGATTGTTTATATTATAGGACTTAAATTTTGAAACAAAAATGAGGGGTCCCCGTGTTCGTTGAGGAGCAACAGCACCTTGTTTATACCCAATAAATCTGTACCATAGCACCATGATCATAGTCACGATTGCTCGATAAATTCACGTTTCCGATCTACATTGAGAATTGGTCCATATTTATTTTACATAGAGAAATTTACTACTCGATTCAAAACAACAGAAAAAAATGATAGGTCACCGTACTCGTTTTTGAGAAAGTGACAATTTACCTCTATGGCGAGGTCCAGCCCAAAAGAAAAGGCCGCCATTTTATAATGCGCGCGCGCGAATCACGCGTAAAATTATACGCAGTAGGGGTGCGCAATGCAACACTTAGGAATGACCGTGTGGCTCAGACAGACCTTAAAACAACTCGGATTAAAACACTCACCTCACTTTTTGATTAAGAAACAACCAACATCTTTTCTCTTCATGCTACTTTTCTCGGGAAAAATTCGGGCCTTCCTAAATCAGCAACGAAACATTTCACTACATTTTCAAACGGCAGCCATCCTTATATACGCCATAGCAGCGCAGTTTTGCTGATTTTTGTCCAAATTCGAACGGTTTTCCTCAAATTTTTGACATCAACTGCTCCTTCGACCGCCACTGAAATCGTATCACTCCTTCTTACTTTAATATATTATCTACAGGGCACGATTTCATTGGTTGAATGAACAAAAGGCAATCCAGTCGCCATGGACGCGAAGATTATGCGAATAGTTTAACCTTAACTAACGCGGAAAATAATTAACTTGGTCAGATGAAGAGTGCGCATGTGCGAACTAAATTTCCATTGCGAAACAGCGGTGCATTCACCCACTACTTTCAATCCCTTTTCCATCGCTTGGATTTGGGTAAGGTGTGCCTGTTCGGTTCGTCAATTTCAGTCTCGGATTTTCAAATAAGGGACTCGGCGTTTGGGCGAGTCTCGGATTTTACCACCTTCATGTACCTAAATGACAGTTTCTCCCCAAATGTTTCTACCCCCAGCTTTTAAACTCCTTACGTTTTCTTTCCTTTGACGTGGGCAAGGTAACCGTTACCCTTTTAGGGTGGATTCTTCCCATATAGTCCGCTAGTAGGTAACATGTACCCAACTTCTCGAAAACGTGTCATATTGGAGGCATTGTATAGTGGGATAAAAATAAACGGGAGCTTATTGTCATAGAAGTACTTATTGTAATGAGGAGCATATTGCCAGGGCGGTAACTACTAAAAACACTTTTCTTGGGGATAGGGGCGTTTATTTTGCGAGAGAGGCTCTTAGTGGAAGGATTATGAAGCCATTTTATCTGTGTAGCTGGGAAGGTCGAAAATATTAATTTTAACAAATACAAATAAATTGTTTATTGCAGGTGCGACGACACTAAATTAAGTAACTTTTAAGTTAAAGTTAAGTTTTAAGTTAAAACTTATCAACAGTTCTCATTACTGTTGAAGACTGTTGATGCACCGATGCATTGTTTTGAATGCCATTTGTCAACAATTAGATTCATTGCACAAGAGTACTCTCTAGGTTTTTCTTCTATTCGCGTTGAAACGCTCTTCCTTGGTCAGGATGGAAGGAGGTAAGCTCGGCAGATGTAATGATGATGATGAAAAGAGACGCGCGTGAGATTTCAGACTTATCTCCAGACTGTCCCACGTCTCGTTTTCCTTTTAGGCATTTCATTGCATACCTAGCCCTTAGTCAGACTCAATACACTTTCTGATTGTTATTATAATACGACATCGCGTGCACGGGGTTATATGACCAAGTAATTTTTGATGGATAAGTTGAACAACTTTCACGGCTTGTAAAATTGTTTTTTTTCTGTCCTAGCCTTTTCAAACTTTGAACTCTTTGAAATGCCAATTATTATAACTGTACAAAGTTTAATTCTCCATAAGCTTTCAAAGTGAGTTAAAAGCGGGCAGCGGTACAATCGTGACAATTCTGCTGTTTTCAAATCGGGTAATAATTTACGTCTTAAACAACGCCAAATTAATTTACAACACTCCCGATATATTTCTTGAATTTAACGTGCAATACTTCAAGCAAAGCTCGAATTGTGTTCATCTTGTGCAAAATACTATCTACATATACGTTGTACGCGCGCGTGATTGCGTTGGATGGGAGCTGGCACTTCGACGTTTCTTTTCAGAGAAGCGTTTCTTGACTGGCATGCTTATGGTATCTATACCATAGGCTCCTCCTCAGAAAACGTACTATTTTTGGTTGTGACGCTTTTCCTCTTACCCTTACGTTCCCCGTTCTTTTCTTTAGGGTCAATAAAAGCAGTGTCCAAGAATGGCGAGACAGACTCAATTAGGCGTCCGGGAATACCACCCTCTTTATTCTTTTCTTTTCCAGGCCCCTTGATGTAGCATAACACGAGAAAACACACAATGAAGCACAGTGGAATGGCCATTGTGAAGAGCACTCCGCTTGTAAGTGGCGACGTCTTTGGCTCTTCTATTAGTTGATCTTAAAACAGAGGGTGAAGATGGAAAATGAACCCTGGCTACAGACACTTTTTTAAAGGCACTTTACTTTCAAAGAGTATTTCTTAATTTTGGATTGCGCTAAACTACATCATGCACACCAGCGCTTGTCCTAGGTTCTGTACCATGAAATAAATTAAAGTATCTCTAGTCTCCTCGACGAGGACGCTAGTTCATTGCCGGGATAACTGTCTTGCGTTGATTTGCGTTGATGGGTGGGGAGAGGCATTTTGCGCCGGTAAAGTGTCTTGACCCAAAACGCAACACAGTGACTATAGTCAGGGCATAAAGTGAGAGCGCTACGTCTGAAGTTTAGCGCGTTAAGTATAAGGCAACCGCCTCTCTGCAGTAAATACCTTTTTTGTTGGTTTTACAGATACTGATACTAGGGGTAGTTTACTCAGTTCTTCCAGGTCGTGAAATATCCTCGAGTATAGTGTTTAATGTTGTCTTTAAAGCTATCTTTTAAGGCGTAAATGTTTGTACTAACCTGCTGGTTGCTCAGGAGGGGGTTCAGTTGATACATATGTGTCGTTTGTTTCGCTGGCGGTTGTCGCTATGGGTTTTATTTCACTCTTCGTTGTAGTTTTCTGCGTAGTATATTCTGCAACAAGAAGGTCACGCTATCATAGGTGACTATCACGTCACATAGGAGTTGGTCTTCGAGGGTGGGGTCACGCTATTTTAGGTTAAGGCTAGTACACGCTATCTTTGGTTGTCCCTGGAAGTTCCGAGATAATCTTACTCAAGCAACAACTCTACGCTCAGCATGTTGATGGTTTTATCGATTGTCGTTGGAATTAGTTTTGCAAGGAAACCAATTCCTTATGCAGAAGCCCTTTAACCTATAGTGTTCATGTTGAAAGTCATAGAAAACATATAAGCTATCTTTGCACGTTTTTCGTGCCTATAGTGGAAGGTTAGAGTAGAAGAACCATAGTCGTGATGTACCATGCATGGCTCATCAAAATAGCCTCTTCACGCATCCCCTGTCGTTCTTGATTAATGTGGATGAAAGGAAAGTTTAGCTTCACATGCTCTGCACTTGTATTAAAGTTTTTCAACACCTATTACTTGGCTTTGTTATAAAAACCTTTAGTAAGAAGAAGTTCACAGGTCACGGTGTTCACACACTATGACCTCAGAATCTTTAATTTCACCAGAGAGATTTTTCTCTTTGGCCAGTAAAAAGGACTAATAACATTAACATGTTTTATGGTGCTAGGATGACAGTTTGTGGCTACCTAAGGCTGGTGAAAAAAGGCAGGGCGGCTCTCGTTCTCTTGAATGTTACCAAAAGACGAACGTGCCATTTTCTTGTTTACAGTATACTCACGTGGTCTACAAACTGTACCATTTCTCTCCGTTACGTATCCATCTCTGCAGTGACATAGGTAACTACCTTGTGTGTTAAGGCACTCGTGAGGACATCCGCCATTTTTGTCTTTACACTCGTCAATATCTGCGTAGAATAAAAAAAAAAAAAGAAAGAAAAATATGCTATCCTCCATAAGCATATGTGGAGGTTTCGACCAGACTAGTTTTTCATTTTTCCAATGGTTATTTTCATGGCATGGAAACAAACAGTACAAAATGAATAATGTAAGTTCTACAGAGATATAAGAACCCATCTTGCCCATCTATATGACCAAGAAGAAACTCTGGAAAATTTGTTGTGAAAACAAGGTAACAATGTGTCTAAATTAGACCCGAAGTATGCAAGGCTGAGTTGAAGTTTCCACAGGGACTCTAACCAACTCCCGAGGAAGGTAAGACTGCAGCCAAAATGTGGATGCGTCTGTAGTTCACGTTCAGGTCAAAGCTTTCGTTGAACGCTGCCCGAATTTTGTTTAGAAATCCCCCCGAGTTGCCTGGTAATAACGAACTCAGCTTTTCTCCTTACCTTCGCATTCTTTATCTTGTTCTGTTGTCAGGTAACCTGCACCACAAGAACACTGATAGCTTCCAACAATATTGAGACAAGGTTGGCCACTACAAATGTTATAGTTGTTGCACTCGTTAGCATCTAAAGAAAAAAAAAAAATGAGAACACTATCAAAATTCATTTTAAATCGTCAAATCAAGATCAGATCTAACTTTGTCCCTGTTCAGGATCTGTTGCTAAAGTTCATTTGTTTAAACCTTGCTTTCATGGATCTCTTGATGAGGAGGTTGGCACTTATAATTATTTAACAAGGCGCGCAGGAGTTCTTGGAGAAAGCAATGAGAAAAGTAATATGTCCTCTGAGGTTACAAAAAGACTTCGGAGTGCAGTCAAAATTCTTTCCTCAGAAAGAGGCTGGACCGTTAAGTGACCCTTTAGGGAAGAAGCAACGTAAATATTTGTCACTATCATTCGATGTATTTTTTTCTTACTTTTCATTGACTGAGAACCCAACACGTGATACGCAAATAACTGCCGTCTAAATGTGTTTTGCCGCAAATAATATTCTGCTTGTGTGTAGTTGTAGCTACGCTCTCGGGTGAAAAATGGCAGATCGCTTTTTCTGAGCTGTCAAAGAGTGATTTAAATGCGAAAGCGAATTTGTTGATCGAATGATAAAACAAGTGTTGAACTCGGTTATCGCAAAATTTCGTTATTTGTCAGTGTCTCGCAGATCAATTATTTGCCGAGGAACATCTAGAAGACAGTGCTCGCCACTGACAAACCCCCACGACATTTTGCTCAACTTCGTCCAATAATGCCATAATTGTTGCTATTGTTAAAATTCGTGTTACTTTTTTTGGCACCCCAAAGCATAAAGGTGACGAGAATAATAGAAATAGATTGATACGATAAGCAACAATTTCGCAACAGCATTTTGATGTGCTATCAATTCTTTGGAACAGAACTGAACCAAAATAACAAAACAAACATTTATGTTTGACCAGAGCATTCCATGCTTACCTCTGATGCATATATAGCACCCTTTAGCGGAGCATTCTCTTCCAAACCAGTATATGCTCTTAATGGGGTGAATTTCCGTGCAGTTTTTATCCAAGCTATCGTTCATGGGTTCTTTCCTGTGCCATTTTGTGTAAATAGGTTCCTCGTCCAGCTGATCAAGCCAAACCCATCGCGAAGTGTTTCTTGGATTACGATGAAGCCCTATCCAGGCCCCCTCGGATAAGCAACTAAGGCTTGAGTAATGTGACGCAACGAACGCGTTTTGCGAATCCGAAGACACATTCACTAGGTCTCCCCCAATCTCCTTACAGCGATCGCGGGCATTAACCCAGGTGGCAGTTTGGTTCGAGAAGAAGTAACAAAAACCCTCGAAGAACGTCCAACCGTTTGGGCAGGAATTACCTTACACAAGGAGACAGAAACATTTTTATAAACCATGACCAAAATGATATAATTTAAAAATTATCTTGAACGTAGCTTCCAAAGCAGATTTGAAGCATTAGGATTTCATCACGTACTTGTGATCTTAAAAGGGTTGAGTGACGGTTTGACGCATCCTGAAAATATGGGTTCTTTTTTTCAAATTAGAGTTTGTAATCCGTTGTCGTCCTCCTTAGTCATGGCCATATTGTCTATTTTCAGCTCATTGTGACCCTTTGCGAGCTGGAAACCAGGAAACCAGGATAAGTTCCGGCAGTATGCATTACTCAGCCCAACGCAGACTTAACCCTTTGTTACATTTGGTTGCATTTTATAGATACCCTACATAACTATAGCATTCATGCATGATGAAATCAAATTTGTTCTGGCACCTCCGTAAGATCTTAAATCCAAGATCTATGTTACTTGGGTTCCTCCCATGTTGCTCTCTGATGTGTTTCCCGATCGCAGACCATCTTAGCTTTTAGGAAATTCAAAAGGACTTTACTATACTTGACATTATTCTGGTACAAGATTTTTGTCCACTAAAAACTGAAATTGCTCGATTTCCTATCGGATTTCATCTCAGTTTTTTTTTGCATAAAATAATTGTAAGGGGATTATCATCAGCAAATCCTCGTGTCGATATTGATGTCAACCATGCAATATGTATTTTTATTTATTTATTTTTTATAAACTTTTCATAATCATGACAAGATATCTAGAAAATCTCTCATCAGATCTTTTTACTAAGCTTCTCGTCTTTTCCCAGACCAGTCGTAATCTTCAGATGTAGAATATGACTCGTGGTTCCGCTTGAATTTTGAACATTCAGGAGGCCATTTCTACGGTCTTTAAGAGCGTAGTTCATGAAGAAATGTCGCCGATTTTGTTTTTTGCAATTATAAAACCGAACTTTTCCAACAATTACAGAGACACGAGTCAGTGCGAAATTGCGCGCGCACGTGCAACTCTTAAGATCGCTGTTTCTGCTTGAAGCCGATAAGTTTGTCCGAAATTTCGTCACAAACAACCCATTTGATATTTCACAATTCACCGATTTAGTTTTATCGGAAAGGCCGAGAAATTTAGTCAAATTCTGCGAAATGCTAAATGAATTAACCTTCTTAAATTTGATTATTATTGCTCTGATTAGAAGCCATTACAAGTTTTCCTATTCTGTGATCATTTATTTAGCACTTTCTAGTAATTAGCTCCCAAGGTCGGGATGGTTAAACATAGAGTTTAAACTTTCTTATAGCTCGGAATAATTCTCATAGATTTAAAACTTTCCTATAAAGAAAGTAACAGTAACAAACTTCTCTTTACATTACAGCGTGCCAGCGTTACCAGAATAAGTCAAGGTTTGCCAGCAACATAAATTACTCATTTTCGCAAAAATATATATTAATTTAATCCAATCAGAAAAGAGGCAATTTTAATATTTTAATTTTAATATTTTGATATAATTATTAAAACTCCGAGAAATACATGAATTGATTATTAATAGACATATTCATCTCAGCTTTTGCATCCCTCTTTCACCGCAGGCGTCGTGCAAAAGTGTAATTTACATATTTTATTTAGCAACTGCGGTTGAGCCCATGCTGAGAAAAATTTCTTATCTCATCTATATCTAACGTCAAAAATATGACTGATTAGACCCCAGTCCTCTAGGATATCACGCCATAAACATTTATCAGTTCGACTCAAATAGCACCCATTCTATTTTTTTTTTTTTTTTTGCCGCAGTGATTATTTGTGACTCTTTGCGCGAACAAAAACAGTGTATCGCCTCTGAGGAAATACGTTTCCCCCCTGATTATGCAATAATTCGACTAATAATTCGTTAACGTCGACGTATTTGCATTTGAAATTGTTTATATAATCATAATGCCCTGCTTCCTACTTATTTGTCCTTTATTTAAATTTAAATCAATTTAATGTTATCAGTTATACCCACTTTCTATTTTTCAAACTGTCATTAAATTAGGTGAAACCTTAATTTAATGAGTTATATTGTGTTCTAACCCGCGCAGTTGCAAAGATAGCAAAAAAAATTAAATAAAAAATAAAAAATAAATAAAAATAGAAAAAAAATAAAAAATTAAAAAATACTGAAACTTAAATAAACGTGCTTAAAGTTATGCAAAGACTTGATGACTCTATTGTAAATCAGTAAAACTTGTACAATGTACCATTTGGATAAACCAAAATAACTAAAATACGTTTTGGTTTATAAATTTCAAATACGTTACTACTCTGTGTTCATTACGCATACAGCTGTAATTATTCTACATCATTTAATTTGGGGAAAAAAATTACTTATACTGCGCTATAGAGTTCTTCTGTGTAGATGTGCTTCGTTAGCTTCAGTTTTTTTTCTTCTGCATTGCTTCCACATTTATTTATTTATATTTTCTAGGTTTTTTTCTATTTTTTAACTTAAGGTTGCAGGTATTTATTTTGTTTGTCTTTCGTTAAAATATTGAAAGCGCTGTTGCTGTTGCTGCTACCGTTACTATTGTGTTATTGATGTTGTTGACGAAATCACAAGCTGCGGTTTTCAAGAACATGACACAAGTAATAATTGTCAGGTGACAGTCAAAATTCAGTCATCAGTCTGTTTCCAGTTGTAAGCTATTAATCTCCTTTCTTGTTTGCTTTTTGCCTTTTTGGATAACAATTTTATAGTTTAGGAGGTAGGGCCAATATTTCAATTTGTTGAAAGTGTTTTGGCAGTTAGTCAATTGAAAATTGTCAGCGCCAATTTTCGTTGCCAATTGTTCGCATTGGTATATTGTTGTCTCAAGTTCTCTTCGGACACTTTATGTAAATTCTGTTGAGGCTGATGTTCTGCAATCATAATTCCATATGATAACATTCATGTTTCAGAACAGTTAAATTCACGGCATTATAGTCAGTCCTAAAAGGACTACTGCACGACAAAATTTCTAAATGGTTTTGTTTGTAATTATTTTTATCAATTTGAACAAATTATATGTTCACACATATCATGGTAGTAATATTCTCAAGGAAATCGAGAAATCTACGAAGTGCTAACCACAATTAATTTGGTTTGTTATGTATGCATATCTGATGGTAGATTACTAATTATCCGTTTTATTTTTATTGTCCAGTACTCAGTTTTAGACAGTTCCATGTTGACTATATCGAACGATTTTCGTTCAATCTGGCTTGCGTATATCGGCAACAGCGCTACAAACGTTTCTACTTGGCAAGCAGATGTATTCAGATAGTGTAACATAAATGTATTTAATTTCATAAGAACGTCAGGATATTGTCCCATTTTACGGTATTTTTTATTACGTATTATACAAGCGAAAGCCCATGGGGCTAACGCTTTTAAACCTTGCCATATCGTCAGACATTAACACAAAAGAGTCCATTTACACGTGCAAAAGACATTTCTCCTTTACAATATGAAGGCGAGAAGACAATTAGCACAGAGCCTGCTGCAAAGAGCTCAATTGTTGTTCTGATTCAATACATCTAATTAGAGTTCCTTTCTCGTCAAATAGGACGGATGAGAACAAATTATGGTATAACGCTATAAAATGACATTTGCTCTCTTTCCGAAAGCGCTTAACTTTCGCCGGACGACATTAAGCCTAGTTAACTTATATTTTACCATCAAGTGAAATAAAAAGAATTCGCATAAAATCTGACGGACTTCAGTGATTTTTTTAATTTGTGTACTCATATTTTGAATATAATTTAATTTCGCGCGTATATAGAAATGTAATTGGTGCGAGGAAATTGTCAGATTTGATTAAAACTACCATTCGTGATTTACCTTTCTTACTCAAATTGATCGTTCGCTGACGTTTGTTCAAGAGGATTTAGAGCTATTTGTGTGTAATATTACGGATTGCTTTGTGTCCACCTGTTCTAGCTATAGAGCTCCGTATGTATTTCGATAAGACTGAAGATCCCTTCTTCAGTCACCAATAAGTCATCTTGTAAATGCGTAAATAGGAAGTAGTATTCACCTCAATCCAAAATTATCAACATAGGGTATTAAACCTTGGCATTATTTTGACAGAGAAACATTCCCATGAATGGATTGCAATCTAACATTTGCATTTTATCTGTTTTGGTCTACTCGCGTAGACAGTCATTCCTGAGGTATAGACTGCTTTGCAAATATCTAAAGCGTTTTATCGCTATTTTGATGGTTAGTCGAGTAATTTGGAGTGAGCGAGTGTCGAACAACCGCTACTGTTAGTTTTGACTGAAATATGAGCCCTTGATAAACTAAAACTGACTCACAACAAAGCCAACGTGTACGTCAGTGCCTGCAATCACAAGTCCAACACGTATTTAGATTTCAGGCACTTCCATCGCTTCACTAAACAGTAAGTCACATTATAAGAAGCTTTGCCTTACCTTGAACACTGCAGAATGCAGAGAAAACTAGGACAGAAGCGAAGAAGACGCGAAATCCACGAGCGCTGAACCGCGACATGTTGCCATTTGTGTTTTTCAGAGTCGACTGCTTCGCCTTGCGCCGGTAACAAAAGCGCGGTAGGTTGTCGCATAAAATGAAACAAATTACCGAACTTGTCTCCGTAAAAGAAAACTCTGACGGGCATACACTGCTTTGTAAACTTAATGCTAATGGAATAAACAGCAATTTGAACAATAGCTCTCGGCTGATTATTCGCCTAACTGTCCAATCTTCTCAGGTTTTGGCTTCCACTTATTCTTACAGCGAAAACTGGAGCCAAATAAATTCACAGACAAGATAATTTTTGCATAACGTGTTAGATCCTGTTTGAGCTTCGTCTGTGGATTTTTCTAAAATGTCAATTTAAGCATTGAAATCATTATTTTCATTTTATAATTTAATAATTTATAGTCTCATCAATGACGGGTTTCAGTTTTGAAAAAACAATAGCGCAGAATTCATTTTTAAATTTGTAATGATGAAAAACCATATCCCTAAACGCCATATCCAATCAAACGCGTTCGCTTTTTGACATCTGCCCTTGTGGCGCTACCACAAAGTTTAAACAATGAGATTTTTAAAAGTCTGAGATTTTCAAAACACAGGAAGAGTTTCTCTTAATTTAGAAAACTATTAACACACTTCTTGGAAATAAGTGAATACACTTAGTCTCATTTGATTTACTTAAGGACGTTCGCGCGAAATTTTCCAGTCGATCACCGACTTCGTTTCAGAGATAAAGCGTGTGGAAAACTACCCTGATTTTGAAAAATTGGCGCACGTCATTCAACATGGTCTACAGGGGTTTGTAGTTAAAAATATCGAAGGTGAGTCAACGAAGGCAAACGATCTTAGTTATATTCTGTAGAAGTGGGTCTGTTGCATTTATAATTCCAAGTGTTACCAACGTTTTCACAAAACTTAACCCTTCAAGAGGCATTTGAAACCGTCGTACAGATAAACGAAGAGCTAAAAAGAATGGCATTCGTTGGTGCATTTTGCAAAAATTCAAACTTCTAATCGATAGATTTTTTCATTTTTTCGCTAAACGTAGAAAATCGGTAGAGAACTGATGATCCATCAAAAGAAAAATAGGGGTCACTGAACGTCCAAGATCGTTAAATCCAGGCAAAGTTATAGCAATGGCCATCTGCCCTATCATTGTTTATTTTGTTACTTAGCGCGCGCTCTCATGTATATCGTTGGGTGTGAATTTGCGTGCGCAGTAAGGATGCGCAGAAACAATCTGCGCAAACGTCCTTAAAATATTTCCATGTGGATCCTTACTGCGCATGCCCCTACTCATCGCGTTGACATTAAGGAACATTACAGTCTTTTCTTTTGCCGTCGAGCTTGTCAGAGGTCTTTTTTTTGTAAGCGTGGATATCCGCCCTTTTTCCCCTAATTTTAAGTAACGAAATTATTGTTATCGTATTTTTCTTGTAGAAATAGACCAATTTTCATATCTGACAAATTAGTAGCCACTGGAAACTTGCGCACATACCTAGCACTCGTGGAGGTACAGCCGGGACCTTTCAAAAACGCGGCATGCCTGTGCTACCTGTGCTAAAGTTCTGAAACAAATTAATCTCCTAAAAGCTATCAAAAGCTATTCACCTCAATGCGCGAGACAGTCGTTTTACAAACCCCTAATCCAACCTATTGTTGATTATACATGCGTTATCTGGGGCGCGACATCGCAGTACAACCTAGATCGGATCCTTAGATTACAGAAATACGCGGTAAGAGTCATTCTTAATATCAAGCGTCCCCAGGATATCCCATCGTCTGAGCTGTTCTACCAATTAAACTGGATGACTATAAATCAACGCATTGAGTACTTTACGTCCATATTGATGTACACAACTATTAACTGAAATCTATCCCTAATTATCTACATAACAGGTCTGAGTATGTCAAAGACAAACACCAAATCGACACAAGATCAGCCGCAAATGGAAACCTGTTTATACCTAAGCTATCTAGCTTCTAAGACAGGACAAACATCTTTGCAGTACAGAGGAGTCCATGCTTGGAACGGTTTATCTGTGGACGCTAGAGACTATAGCCTAGAAAAGTTTAAACAATGTTTAGCTGGAACTGCTTGTAATTAATATATTCTTGTTTATATATATTTTTATTTTTTACCCTTGTAATTTTAAATTTTTAAGCTTCAGGTTTTAATTCCGTATAGTAAAGTGTAGTAATGAAGATAGAGGACCACCCTAATTAACTTAGTGTTAGCTTGGTGATATCCTCTGTAAATATTGTTATCATCATCATCATCATCATCATCATCATCATCTGCGGCTCCCGTCCACACTATGCCGTAGAAATTTGAAAACGCAGCTTTTTTCTACGGTTAGATCTACCGTTCACACTAATCTGTCACGAGAAAGGAGCTTTTCGTTAACGCTCTTCAAACCAGAGAAATTTGAAAACGCCGGCTCTTTGTTTTGGTGTGGACAGAGAAGAAAACGAGGTCGCGATAATCATCCGATTTCCCTGTTTCCTGAAACACAAATCCAAAATGAGCGGTGCTAGCGGTGTAGTGTGGAGGGAAACCCTTTGATCCGTTTTCAGAGTGAAAACGCCGTTTTTAAATTCCTCCGGTGTAGCCGCGGAGGGAAATCATTTGATGCGTTTTTAGAGTGAAAACACCGTTTTTCAATTCGTCCGGCGTAGTGTGGAGGGAAATTTCGCCGGCGAAGTGTGGACGGGGTCTGAATGTCTTAATCATCAGTGAAATCTACTATAGATTGTTCCTTTTAACTAACGCAGCAATTGTGATGCAATATTTTAAGTTTTGCGTTTTTCTATTTATTTCCTACTGTACAGGTATGGCGGAGCGTATTTTCAATTGGGTGGTGGTGGCGGAGGAGGGGGGGAGTTTACAAGCGAGCGCAAGAGGCGCTAACTTGTAAGGCTCTGGAGATATTTGTAAAATTATTTTATGTATTTTTCGCTTGAAATTGGGTGGAGCTAAAGGTTCCCCCCCCGGCTCCGCCGTTCCTGCTGCAGTCAATCGAATTCCACACACTAGATTTATTATTCCCACTTCTGACCAGCGATTCGCTGAAACAAATCAAAATAAGCTGACCATACAGAACAGGAAAAAACATACGTAAAGCAGGCGAAAAATGACGGGAAAATAACGAAACTTACAAGATTTGTGTTATGAGACTACGACCAATAAAACAAACTGACAACGACAAACTTTTTAAAAAAAAAACAAAAAAAAAAACGAAAAACAAAGGATTCAAACACGAGCATACAATCATAACAAGACTCAATGGCTATATCTTCCGGCTCCCACGAAACGTTATCAGGGTGAACGGGTAACCCGTCTCTAAAGTTGACATCACAAGGAATTTGCCGATCATACTTCTTGCGATGCCACAAACGTGATGTTGGAAACAGTTCCTCTAAATCGTTAAACCAGAGAAAACTTTTATTATAGATAATTCCAATGTCAATCTTGTTTCAGTTGGATCACCTTATTTACCGCGATAGTGCATGTACGTGAATTCAATAAGTTTATTTATAACAAATTTTACCTTTCATAGTTTTTATTTCATGTATTTTTTCAAAAAAAAAAAGAAAGAAAGAAAGAAATAATTATTGCGTTTATATGAAAACAATATACTTAGTTCGTATAGTGTGATCGTCCGGCTGAGTGTAGTTCTGTAAATCATCAGCTGACAAACCACACATTGACTGGGACTCTGCTCAGTGCTTAACCTACAGTACAAACTATTTTCAACGACTGACTCTGGAAAGCTGGTACACTAACCTAGAACAAACGCCTC